AAAAAGAGGCAGTTTTGAAGGCTAATCTTAAGACTTATCCCTTTAAGCGTGCATTTGATTTGTAGTTTTTCTTTTTATTTGTAGCCTAATTGTGTTATATAGCGTATTTAATTCTTAGGATTTTAACTTTCAGGATTTAGGTTTTTAAAGGATTAGGATTTTGATTTTAGGATTTTAAACTTAGGATTTTAATTTTAAAGTATTGTAAAGCGTCATGGACAATTAGTGGGAAATGGCGCTATATAAATGTATATTTATTTATTTATTTATTTATTTATTTATTTATTTATTTATTTTATAACATTGAGAGCTTGGGTCGCCTGTGGCCAAGTCAAAAATGACAGACAATTGACAAATCAAATTTAAAATTTCCGCGTAAGATGAATAAACAGCTACTGGAAGTTTCAGCCCTTTAGCGTAAGTCGAAAGTAAGTTGAAAACAACCTCATGGGGGGGGGGTGGGGAGGTGGCATCCACCCCCTCCCCCCCTTGTGCGTCCGAGGGTTAAAGTAGCCAATGAAATTGTACGTTTGAGTTGAATTGCACTATTTTTTGCTCTAAATTGCATTTTTTTTTTTTTTCTGTTTTGCGTATGAGATGTAAAAGCATTTCAGGGTCTGCTTCTTTTACAAACTATAGGTGGAGCAACAAAATTTGCTACTGACCAAAGTCCATTATTTACAATAGGCAATTAAAAGTGTGATTCAAAATGGGCATAATAATGTAGCATTATGAAATCACGCCGTCCTACGAGAAACGCCGATTTTCAAAAAGACTTGGAATTTGGCATTTAACAATAATTATGAGTTAGGGGGAACAGAAAAACCTTGTTTCCTTACTTTTCTAAAAAAAGGAAGGCCCTGTCAAAAGTATCATTTTCAAGTAGTTATGAATAGAATTCTTAAAATAAGCCTTTGACTAATTTCTAGATTTGTTAAAAATATATATATATTTTTTCATATACAATAATTATTTGAGATCTGATATTTGATTTGATTGATATTGTCTCTGCTTCAGTTGGAATTATAGAATGTTATTATAATCTACACTACATTAATTCATATCTTGAAGATGTTATAAAGTTCACGTAGCTATGGAAATGTTATCAATGACCTATACACATTGGTACAAAAACTTCAATGAAAAAGAGTAATGAAGTGAAAACAACAATAATTAAATGAATAGATTGGCTTGTATTTAGCTCTCAGGCAGATACCCACTGTTTCTTCTCGCATCAGATAGGTTAAATAATTCTGTGCTACAGACGCATTCGTTAAAACGTTTTGAAGTTTTACACTTTTATGTCACAGCACATTTTCAACAATCGGGCTCAGATTTTTAGTGACTCGCAATTAATCATGCCATACCCTTGATCGCAGCTCAGTCAAAGATTGACAGTTCTAAGCACTTAATTAATATTTACCAATAAGGAAAATATTGTATATTTGTAGGCCACTCTATTCAAGTTAATAAATATATACTGAAGAAAAGTACACAAAATAATTGGCTCACCAGATGTGACTGATGGGGTCACAGGGGTCACGTGTATAGGAGGTCCTAACAAAAAAAGTAAAATGTACATTTCTAAGCACTTAATTGATATTTACCAATGAGAAAAACATTGTATATCTATAGGCCACTCTATTTAAGTTAATAAATAGATACTGAACAAAAGTACAAAAAATAATTGACTCACCAGATGTGACTGCTACGGTCACAGGAGTCAAGCATATTGGGGGTTCTAACAAAAAATAGTAAAATGCACTTTGTGAAAAGAAGAAAAAATTTAGCACTATTACATTTCCGTCTAAGTTGTTATATAGCTCTTCCACCAGTTCCCCGCCTCCTCCTATAGTAACTCCCACATTATTTAGCTACAGCGTCTTAAGCAAAACCCTCAGTATAGGTTTTCATACTCAAGTGATTGTACTCTCCTTAAAACAAATGTTTTGGCCGTTAAGTCACGCAAAACTCCCGATCCCCATGTGGTGGCTTCAAAGCGACATATGTTCCTTTTTTCAAATAAACCAACCACAGTCCTGCTTTCATTTCCTTGTAAACTAACTTTGAAATCATTCTGACCTAAGATACATTTTAACCTACAGCATCTACAAGGAACCACTGTACTCAAGTCCACGATGCCGCACTGTGAATGATATATAGAATTACCATTGAGTTTTTCGCAAATATAGCCAAACTCCTCTTTGCAGCCATTGTCATTCCAACGTGTTCTATACAACTCAACGCAGTCTTCACCAGAGCGATCA